TTATGCATATTATACGCAGAATTGTGCATAATACTTTTCTTACATATTACCCTACTGAAAAATTTTTGTTCAGATAATATATCTTAAATATGAAAATGTGTTGTAAACAAGCCTTAGTGCGCATTCAGTGAGCACTAGTTCTGCCAATGAAAAATGTTATTAATCGATTCGATTCTTTCCCTAATAAATTTAGGGAAAAAAGGTTTGTGCTGCTTGCATGTTTCATACTTTTTGCTTTTAAAAAGAGATGGACGCCTAATCAGACGCTTGGAAGAAACAATCGAGTTGGTTGTCTCGCTTTTGCTTCTTCCAAACATTCCAATATACTTCTGTCTAGTTTTAAATACGAAAAGTGCGAAGAGTGCAAACAATACGAATAAGCCTATTTTTGAGAAAAGAATCGAGCATCTCTAGTGTGAACATCGACATATATGACTCCTGCACACAGGGCAGCGATCATGTAATTTTTCCTCTAGGGCGGAAACATGAAAAGTTTTACGTGAACTCGTGATCACTAAACTCGGCGTAGAAACGTAGAAACGTGAAACTTTTCACGTGAACTTGTTAGCCATGAAATATGCTGGCGGAAAAGTGAAAATCTAGTGACATGATGAATACGGAATATATTATGCTATTGCTGTGATGAGATACAGGAAACATAACAGTCCTAAGGTTATAGCGACAGCCAATCAATATGCTGCTTTCCGTAATAAAAGTTTCACGTGAAGTTCGCGCAACAGTCAATCAATATGTTATTTTTCCGTAAGAGCTAGAAGGTTATTACAGAAAGCACTATATTGATTGGCTGTTGCGCAAACTTCCGCCGCGCAGCAAGCATTATCGTGTCCTGTGTGCAGGAGCCATAACCCTACCCGACATACGTACACATTGGGTGCTTTCCAGTTGCGTACACTGTGTCACACAAAACCAGTTTATTGGTTGCATATTATCTTACAAGATATTTTAGATAATATGTGACCAATAAATTGGTTTTGTGTACGTGTGTGTCAAGATGTGTTAAGCAATTGGAAAGGACCCATTAGTACACACTAGACCGCGTACGGAAATGTCACTCGAGTACTCTCCCTCTTTTTTTATCTCACTCTTGTAATTTGCTCACTCCAACGGCTATTGTCTAGTAATGTGCACACAGTGTGTGTTTCCGAACGCAGCCCTAGGTTTGTTCGCGTCGCATGCCTCAACGTGCTCCTACTCGCTCCAACGCACTCTCATTGGCTTACGTCACCACGCGGACCAATCAGAGTACGTTGGAGCGAGTAGGAGCACATTGGGGCATGAGACGCGAACAAACCTTTTGTCCCAATTGAATCATGCACAATGTTACACTTTGTGTATTTCTGTGTACATATGTGTCAAGATGTGTCAAGCAATTGGAAAGCACCCAATGATATTACTTTGAGAAATGGATCCTAGGAATTTTTGAACATTGCCAACGTTGTCCCTTCTTTTTTTATAGATTTTGTCCACTTCATTTCTGGTTGGCTAGGTTATTTTAGAAGGCTTGGTTCGATCATCTGGGGGTACGTATATGTCTCTAGGATCGTTTTCGAACTAGTTATTTTTTTTACGAAGTCGTACCGTTTCGATGGTGCGCAATATCTCTTTTCAAATCGTGGAGTGATATTAGGGCAAAGTGCAAGCTGCTTGGAACTATATATTAAAGGAAGAAATGTTATTTTAGGTTAGAGAATGGGTGCGTCTCAGGGATTTTCTGTGTTTTCTGCATATTCTACGCGTTTTCTGCATATTCTACGCATAATATACATTTTATGCATATTATGTGCAGAATTATGCATAATACCTTCCTGCCGTGCATATTACCCATCCCTGATTAGAATGCAACTTGTGTCGCCGTGTGTATAAAAGTGTCTAGAGAATTGCAATTGGAAAGCACTCATACTCATCAAGAAAACGTATTGTATTGGTTGCGTTCAGCAGAGAAAGCTGTTTTGTAACTGTTGTAAAATTGGTGAATCTAATTGGAGTATGCTTTTAATTTTGGTTAAATCCAAGAGCACATACCAATCAGATTCACGAATTTTACAACAGTTGCAAAGCAGCTTTCTCTGCTGAACGCAGCCATTGATTAAATGAGTCGCCGTTGATATGCATTGTCAATATTAATAGCATGTTCGACTAGCTCTGGGTTAACCCATTCTAATTTAGTCAGCCTACGTTTATTGGTCGAAGTACTTATAAGCTTTATGATTGGCTAGTAGAGACTTATGACGTCATTAATTGCTCTCGGAGCGATTAACCCAGGGTCAGTCGAACACGCTATAAGAAAGGTTGTGTTACAGAAATGCGCGAATGAGAGAAAACGCAGATTTTCAAAACGCAATGCATCTATGTGCCTTTTATCCCCATTCCTCAACGCTCGGTCTAGATATATTGGCTGCGTTCCGAAATTCACTGCCAGTACTGAAATCTATAGTTCATGTGACGTATACTATAGTATTTCAGCACTGGCAGTGAATTTCGGAACGCAGCCTAAGGGTGCATTCCGTCTCCACGCATAATGCGCATGAAGCGCAACGTTAGAGTGACAGAAATACGAAAGTAAGATAAAATGAGAGAGAGAACACTCGGGTGAGGTTCTCGAACCTAGGTTAGGTTAGTTCTCGAACGCATGAACTGCATCAGCTCCGAGGTAGTGCAGTCTATGCGATCTCATGTGTTCGAGAACTAACCTAACCTAGGTTCGATAACCTCACCCGAGAGCTCTCCCTCTCTTTTTATCTCACTCTCGTATCTCTGTCACTCTAACGCTGCGTTTCATGCGCGGAAACGGAACGCACCCTATATGTCTGTGATAACAGAGAGAAGCCTGAGAGCGGACACGCCATATGTTTTGGGCGACACCGATTTTCACGCTGGTGCGATGCGCCATCTGCACCCATTTTTCAGGTGGAACTACGTTCCCTACGCCCATTTTCAGACGATGCCGATAAAGCAGCGATTCGGTGCGTGTCTATTCTACGCCCATTTCCTGGCGATTCGTGTCCGTGCTAAGCGCATAATTGCGTAGTTAAAAACATGGACCATTGCGTACGAACTTATATTCCATTCAACATGCACATGATCTTTTGTAGTTGCCGAAATTAAGCAATAAATGCTAGCGCATGTAAGAGGATGACCGCGACGTACATCGAGACGTACGTGTGTTCCCACGCTTTACTTAAAGCAATGGTATTATTCGTAAAATTATAAACCACTAATCCCAATACACTAAAATGAGGAGAAGTCAATGATTTTCGAACAAAATCGATATCTTTTGTAGTTGCCGAAAGATAGCAAAAAATGTTGGATATAAGTACTGAATCATTCGTCGAGACATACGTCGCGTTCAATCTCTTAAACATGCCGTTAGCATTTATTGCTTAATTTCGGCAACTACAAAAGATATAGATTTCGTTCACAAAGCACTAACTTTTTCAGTTTATTCTACTGTAATTAAATGTTTATAATAGTACAATTAGTATTGGAGTAGTAAAGCGTGCAAGCGCGATATGAGCAAAAAATTCTGGCGGCAAAGAAGCACTTGACCGCCACGTCGAGACGTAAGCACGCTCCCTCGCTTTACCTAAAGCAGTGGTATTTTTCGTAATATTACAGACCACTAATTCCAATAGAGTAAAGTGAGAAGAAATAATTGCTTTTTAAACGAAACCGATCTGTTGTAGTTGCCGAAAGAAAGCAAAAAATACTGGCGGTATATGAGCACTCGACCGCGACGTCGAGACGTACGCGCGCTTCCACGCTTTATCTAAAGCAGTGATGCTTTCGAAATATTATAAACCATTAATTCCAATACAGTAAAGTGTGGAGAAGTCTGTGCTTTTTGAACGAAATCGATACCTTTTGTAGTTGCCGAAAGAGAGCAAAAAATACTGGCGGCATAAGCACTTGACCGCGACGTCGTGCTCAGGCTTTTACATGCCGTTAGCATTTATTGCTTAATTTCGGCAACTACAAAAGATATCGATTTCGTTCAAAAAGCACTGTCTTCTCCACACTTTACTCTATTGGAATTAGTTGTTTATCATATTACGATTAATACCACTGCTTTAGGTAAAATATATAAATGCGCGAATATCCCAGATAGCACGACGAATTCTTTAAGTATTCCTAAAGCTTTCTCCTTTCCTGAACTGTACTTCTTTAGGAACTCGTGGAAGAATACTATAAGAATGATTAAGGAAGTTACATGCACCATGATTGGAGTTCTTCAGAACTTCCCAGAGTATTCCAATAGAGTGACATTATATGAATACAGATGTGTACTTTATGAATTCAAGAGGAATAATGTTTAAGAGCATAGTGTTTTCATCGGGATTCGAATCGGGTCAAAGTCGGGTTAAAGTCTATTCTTTTTCGCTGCACAACTGTACTGGTGCAACAAGTTGAAGTGAGACAAACATATATTTGTCGTCCTCCAACTTATTGCATCAGTGAAGCTGTGCAGCGAAAAAGAACAGACTTTAACCCGACTCTGATCCGATTCTAATCCCGGAAACATAGCCAGAGAGGGAACTATACAAAATATCCAGAAATCATAAAGTAAAAAAGGAACATTACATAAATATTATAATTTCCCATTCAACAATAAATATAAATATAAATTAATAACATAAATAAATATAAATGTAATATGTTGCACACATGTGTGCAACAGTTATATTGCTAAATGGAAGTTTATAATATTGATGTAATTTTACTGTTAACAGGCAGTGTCTACTGAATAACGGTATGCTTCTAAATAAAATAATGAAAATATGTAAAATATATGTAACTAAATCGGGAAGAATAAAAGACATTGGTTTGAATGTTTCTTAAAGTTAAGTTTATAGACATTGACTTGTAAATAGATATTTCTAGCAAAAACGATGTGTTTGTTCGTATGCGATATGTATCAATAGATGCAAGGAATGAAAAATAAAATAAATGGAAAATATGGAAATATGAAAAGTATATGGAAGTTTGATTGTACTGAGTTTTATTGCACTTTTGTACAATATTGTCAAATTTTTATAAAGTTAAAATGTGAACGTTATAACATAAATGAACTATAATAATATTATGAAGTAATATATATTAGTTATGAAGTAATATATATTATAAAGTATATTATATATTGGAAACTATAATATTAATTAGTTACAATATTTTATAAATATTTTATGAAGTACAGTTTAAATTTGCATCCTTATCAATTTCAGGTCGTGCAGCTGTAAAAAGTTCAAATTCAATATAATTGTTATATATATATTGTTTTATATATATATATATACACGTACAAAGAATAAAATATAAATTTCTTTTTCTTCTTTTTTTGCATTGATGTTAATTTCTATTTCAGTAAACTCCAATTAACAATAATATTACATCAATATTATAATTTTGCATTCGATAATATGACTGTTATGTACAACATGTGTTATCTTAGTGAGCAGAATCTCTCGAATCGACGCATTAGCTGTCTTTAAGATATCTTGAAGAGAGTTCTGTAAGAAATGCCTTGTAGACGTTGCTTAAAGAACTCTTAAATATATCTTAAATATTGTTAATGCATTAATTTGCGAGTTTTTACTCACTGGAATATTACATTTATATTATTGAGTGGGAAATTATAATAATGATGTAATGTTACTGTTAGTTAGTGTTTATTGCGGTAACACTGATTCTAATTTCTCTAGATCTACGATAATCGAGACATACGACTCCATTTCCCTTACAAAAAAATATTACTTGCTGTGATAAATTTACCAGTGATAAATTGGCTGTAATAAATTGGCCAGTGATACTGTATTGCTTTTCACTAGTTTTATCATCTATAATAATAATAAAATTACTGAGTAACAATGATATATCAGTGATCAATTTATCACAGCCAGCAATATTATTTTATAAAGTTTATAAGAACGAAACATTATTACATACCCAACAAATATAGATATAATTGATATATAATATATACATAACATGGACGTATGTTACGTCTATATTATATAGTTGTTATATTCTGTTATATTCTGTGTTTGCTGGGATATGGAGTGAGACACATTATCATAAACTCAATGAAGAAATTAAAATATGCGACAATTAACTCACGATGATCTTTTCTCTTTTCTGCTTTTTTTTCCGATCGGACGCATGGTTTAACCACAATTGTATAGCGTCTTCCAATTTTTTGATGTTAACAGACGTGTGCGCCGATGCCACAGAATCTATAACAAACAGAATATTATTAATAAAACTGTTTTACTACGTAACTGAAAGAGTGGCATTCAGTTGGACACAGTACAATTGGACACGTTGCAAATGGACACGGTGCAAATGGACACGGCACTTGACACACGGTTCAATTGGACACGGTGCGTTTGGACACGAAACTTTTGGGCAATGTTGTTTTTGGACACGAAAGAAAATGCATGACGTTCAGTTACACACCGTTCATTTGGACACCGTTCAGTTGGACACAGTTCAAGTGCTCTGTTCACTTGGACACAGAAGGATGCGCACTGTTCACTTGGACACCGTTCATTTGGATACTGTTCACTTGGACACCGTTCATTTGGACACAGTTCACTTGGACACCGTTCAATTGGACACCATTCATTTGGACACCGTTCAATTGGACACCATTCATTTGGACACCGTTCAATTGCCTACTGTTCACTTGGACACAGAAGGATGCGCACTGTTCATTTGGACACCGTTCACTTGG